CTTTCCTTATAACTCTTTTATAAAAATTTTCATATATACACTTTTAAAGTTGGACCGTCTTTTGACCGTATATTATTTATATTACTCTCTCTGAACATTTATATATTGACTCTCTCTGAACATTTATATATTGACTATATGTGCATATTGCTTGCGTTCTGCTTTCTCCGCTCAACGATGTGGTTCTGTGATTATTGCATACAATATGGTTCCATCGGGTCATGCAAGTGAGTTCATGGACGAGGATTCGTTTGGGAACGCGCATTTGGGTGCTGCCTACAGACCACAATTTTTGCTGATTGTTTACCATTGACATCGATTTTTGTTCCCCTACTTGTATGTAAGACCGCTTCTTTGCGCTGAAGATGGCTCGAAAATGAACCGAAACGTTCATTTATTATATTATCGTGTATGTTTTAATTCAAATAGTTATTAAATTATACGCCATAAGATCCGCGCTTGACTCTTACTAGTTCTTAGCCCATTATTTACTATTTTTAATCAAAGTAAGTTTTAAACAAATATTTCCTTATTTTTAATCACCTTCAACTGCAGCTCGTTTCCATACCAGCAATAGAAGAACACTTGAAACAGCATGCTGCCGAGATATAGAGTCAATGATAGAAATTTGACGCTGAGAATTTTTTTCTGCGAAACAAACTCAATTCAGTATATTCGCGAATTAAATATTCAGCAATAGCGATGTTGCTTTCATCGCGATGACGCGCTCTTTGCTATAAAAAAATATTTAAAATAATATTAGAAAGATTTACGATGTTGATTGAATCGTAACAAAAAGTTAATCCGAGATTATAATAAGGGAAATTTTGTAACAAATCGTAAGAATTTTAGTTTACGCGACCTTAGACATTTGAAAAATACTGGTGCATAAGGTGACCATGCTGAAAATGAATAAAATCGTCACAGTCCACACAAACAACGATTGTATCCTGCGCACGAGCTCGTGTACGTTTAAGTGATGTCTCACGCACTCGCTGATCATCGCGCCCGAATCGATTTGATACTGCTTGGAATAATCCTTGAAGATCTTCGACAGACGATAACACAGCAATTCGATCTGCCCGCAGACATGAAGGGTGAAACCGTAGACGAGGGAGTCGAACGAGACGTTCAGTAATACCCCATAAAAAATCGCGCCTACGTGCTGAAGATAGGTTGCCAAATACGGGTATAAATCGGATATCGAGTATGGCAGATACGTCTTGAACGGTAGAGGTCTGTCGGTATCCTGAGGTCCCACGACAGGAGCGAGAATGAGAGCTATGCAAGTAGCCTGTGATATACTCATGAAAAATCTCACGCACCACTTGGCTGTGACAAACGTAAATATTGAAGATATATATTAAAAATGTATGAATGCAAATATTCCACAAAAGATTTAGTGTGGAATAAAGAAGTACACGGTAAGAAAAGTTTTGTTATGAAATGTTTAAAGATTTGGCTAAGTACAAGAAAATAATTTTATCGAGCCATCAAAATTATGATGTAGGACGTTCAAATTGATTGCTAAAATATAAAAAGTTTTTGCAATTTGTGTAGATTATCATTATGCACTTAAATGCTTGATATAATTATTGATGGCTCAACAATTAAAATTTATTATTTGCGATAATTTTATCAGAATGCGAATTACTGGCTGAGTACCTTTGCGATCGTATTTAACGAGGATCATTTTCTCTTCGGTATTCTTTGGTTGACATGTTTCCTTTCGAAAACAATCTAGTAACATGATAATTTCGTCTCGTCGTGCTAAGAAGTTTCCGTATTTAAAGCATAAAGCTACATAAGTTAAAGCTAGGAAGAGCCCTTCGGTTATATCTTCGATATCGTCATGCGTCCTTATAAGCTCGATTACTTCTGATAGCGTAAACTCATATATTAAAATCACAATGGCATACCTAGAAGTTTTATTATATCTTAGAATTGATTAGGAATGATTTCATCACGATTTTTGAATGAAATAAAACTAACTAAGCTTAAAAAGAAACTAAGTAGAAATAGCTCCTCTATATAGATGAAACAATATAATTAGATTGTAATTTTTTTTCATGATTAATATTAAATCTATATAATAATTGAATAATTTTTGACAATAAGAATCTCATCAAAATAATCTTTATAAAAAGAATAGTTTTGCTAAAACATATAAAAATTTGAGTAGATGCAGATTTGAAAATAATTTTATTGTATCATCAAAATAATTACGTAGAATTCTTGATTACTATCTAAAATATTTACAGTATTATCATTATCATATGTTTAAGCATTCTACATAATTATTTTGATTGTCCAATAAAATTATTTTTAGATCTGACCAAGTTTTTAGATATTTTAACAAAAAACCTGTTCGTTTCTTCGGAAGAATAAGAGGGCAAAAATTAACTGTAAGATAATGCAGACATAAATGTACGGCACACATTATAAATTTATCTCCGTAACAAAGACACGTGGATAATAAATCATATCTAACATCATACCTGTAGCAGAAACTTGAAAAACGAACAAAAAGATTGTTATCCTTCTTTTCGCTCCACGCACCGCAGAACCAAAGAACCCGAAAGTTCAATGGCAATATATCCATATTTCCGGGATACGGCCACTTCGGTGAATGGTCTCCCTCCTGTCATACCTCGCTGCTTTGAAAATATGAAGCTTATAGAAAAAAAATGTAACTTTGTCAACGTCCGTTCTGGTGAATTAGTAATGATACCCGTTCTACAACATTCTAAGCGTTCCTTTACAACATTAACATTTAATGTCGTCGGACTGCGGGAGGATTCGTCGATTTTCTTTCCTCGCTATATTTTTCTTCCATCTCCGCATTTCCAATATGCTTATTAGATATCTGCGATGATATAACCGGTCGTTATTATTTAAATTATAAACTTGTGTAATGTCTCTGTCTTCCCTGCGTGATCGAATGTACGAAGAGACACTGAGAATAAAGGATGTTAAAATATTACTGCTATTGATATAGGTGAAAAATTTTCTTGCAAACATGAGTCGCTTGTCAGAAGAACTGACGGAAGAAGAATAGATGGAAATTTTATAAGAAGAATACAATAAAAGTGAATCTGCAGAAAAACAGAATAAGCTGCAATGTATGTGTTTTTTTTTTTGGATTTGTACATCATTTTAAATCCATTTTATCCTGCAAAATATTTAACAGAAAGTTTTATTTTACTTTTATTATTAAATTTACATCATTATATGGTTAAGGAATAATTTATTTATATTACAAGTTTCTATATATATCTAAAATTATGTATAAAAATTTAAGAGATAAATATAGTATGAAAATATTTTATATCAATCTGATTAAAGTGATAGTACAGAATAGATACTGACAAATATAAATATAGACATTAAATTAATTATGAAGATATTAAATTGAAGTTTGCTGCAGTTGAAGTTAAAAGCAGAGTAGGGCGTTTTTATAATCTGTACAAAAATAAATTAATATTTAAGTTATGTTATATACAATATGTTACAAATTATATCTACATCATACACATATTTTACAAACTATATATAATATAATTAGCATATTATATATTATAATAAGCATATAATTTGTGAATATCATTTATTTAGTACTCCCATGTGAAAGTGCTAAGAAGTAATGAGCAAACACCATAAAAGGAATTATTCTTCCTCTTTGACTCATCATCATTACAAATGACAAACTTTTACGTTGATTAATCGATATTACCGTCCAATCACTAGCATAAATAGCATGTGTGATACTTTTATACTGAAAACAAAAAATTTATTTAAAAATACGAAATTAAGATATTAAAAATTAAAAAAAACAGATCGAATTAGATTTATTACCAGCGGTACCTTTAAATCGAGCTCGTTGCCAAACCAACAATACTTGAGAATACTTGAAACAACATCGATCCTAAATATAGCATAAAAGCGAAAAATTCAACAGTGAAAAGATCTTTCTAAAATAAAAACATTGATTGCAACGTTGTTTATGTTAACTATTATATAATATTAATTCTATTGAATCATGCTTTAAATCAATTTTTATAATAAAGATTGATAAATCTAAAATATGATTTTTCCAAAAAAAAAGAGATATTATTGTATTCATATATACATTAGATCTGATAGATGCTGCTACAGAGAGTGACGAGGCTGAAGAAGAACAAAGTGGCGATAATCCACATAAATAGAAATTGTATTCTGTATGTAATGTTGCACACCGAAATATGGTGTTCCGCGATGGCGAATTTCTCGACGCTGCTAATTTTCTTCTCCTCGTTGTTCTCTCAAAGATATCGAAATGCTTCTGTTAATTAATAGCACAACTGCCCACAGGTATGAATAATGAGATCATAAACGAGAGAGTCGAGCGCAACATTCAGTAACACTCCGTAAAATACGGCTACAGCTTGCTCAAGGTAGATCAGTATGTAAGGGAGTAATGTCGTCATGAAGTATGGTACGTACATCTTCAACGGTAACTGTTTTTCCTGAGCCATTAGAAGCACTGTGAGGACCAGTAAACCCATCATTTGCGAAATGATCATGAAGGCGATCCTCCTAGCTTCAGCATAGAACATTGGAGAGAAATGGAGTTTGCAACATAATTAATTTCTCTAAGACAATTCTGATTATTTTTATCATTAAACTTCTGTAAAACTTTATTAGTAACTTTTTTAAGTAATTAAGTAAAGTTTTTTAAGTAATTAATTAAAAAGACGAGAAAAAGACTCTACAAGTATATGTTTTTATAATTAAATAGAGTTTATAAAATAATTAAAAAATTTTGTGATTATATTTGTAAAGTGTCTTATAAAGAGTAGTATATTTACGATTTTATTAACAACAAAATATTTTTAACATTTGTTATAGCTCGTGTTATTATTATTATTATTTTACTTGTAGTAGAAGCTGACAAAGCGTATTATCAAGTTGCTATCTTTATTTTCTTTCCATACACCGCAAAAACGAAAAACATAAAAATTCACCGGCAATATGTCCATATTTTTATCGTATCTAATGTAATATTAAATCTTCCCTCAACAATGGCAAAATATAAAATATTATCCGTTCAGAGTTGCTGAGACGTTTTCCAACGACAACGTTCTTGCATTAATAACGATGCATAGGTATACCACATTATTAGGAGTGCATTATGTTTTAATATTATCCATCACAACGAAACATACAGACTTTTCCCATTATTGTTCTCTGTATTCTTATTCTCGATTTTTATATTCTTATTAGATAGATAATAAACTCCGATGGCAAAATGTTGTACGAGTCTTCAATGTCGGCAAACTGTTGTCATTTATTTAAAGATTTTCTTCTACATTTTCTTATAAATATAATATCATAAATATAATATCATAAATATAATATCATAAAATAACAATAAATACAAAATAAAACTAGAGTAAAATAATTGTGAGAAATGTTTTTCTAGAGATGACATATGGTTCAATTGTTTTTCTAGAGATGACATATGGTTCAATTGTTTTTCTAGAGATGACATATGGTTCAATTGTTTTTCTAGAGAAAAATAACAGCTAAAAAATTATAGAAATTCTATAGAAATTTCTTTAAAAAAATTTCTCTAAAAAAAGTAAAAATAATGTGTAAAACGAAATATCTAAAATTACGTACAACAAAATTTGAAAGATAAAGAGTTATTAAATACTTTAAAAATTAATTTCCCAAAAGATTCAGTGTATATATAAGTAACTATATGTTTATGTTTATTAATTTATGATAATCGCAAAGTGAAATATAATTTTTCTGTTTGTAAACAATGATCAAATATCATTTATAGTTTTAAAAAATTTAACATTTTCCATTAATCTTAAGTTATATAAAATAAATTTTAAGCACGGTTATTTGCCATGTTCAGTTTAATGTTTAATTAAACAATTTTCCAAAAAAGAAAGAAAAGAAATAGAAATATTTAATTCTAATTCGCTTTATTTAGCAAATTTAATATCTTAATAGTATATTTTGTCATAAAAATTTAATCTGTTATCGAAAATTTCTTTTTCCAAAAAAAATATCAAAATAATCACTATATTATCATCTACACTAGTGTTTTAAAAAAAGATTCATTAAAATTGCAAATTAGCTAGAAAAACGTTTGAAAAATCAAAGAAACAGCAATCGCATTTTAGATCAAAATAACATAAAAATTTTATTTAGACTATTTAACATTAAAACACATTATCCCACAAAAAATTTTTTAGTAAACTATTTGGTAAAATATTTTATAGAAAACATTGTATTTTATTTTTTATAAATAAATATGATGTACTTAACCTGTAGAGCAAAGTTTCTAATATAAAAATATTTAAGATATTTTGTATCTATTATTAAATATTGTATAATATGAAAAAATACATTCGCCGTTAATTCATTAAAGGAATGAACTACATTTTCTGCAAAATTACTATAAAATACTAATTTGAAGCTTGTTGCAACAAGTTGAAAGCAGAATAAGATGTTTTTATAATCTGCGCAAATATAAAAAATAAATATATAATTTACAAAACATTTAACATATTACATTATTATTTTTATAAACTTTAATTATTATATGTTCATATACTTACCCACGTAAAAGTACTAAGAATTAATGCACAAAATCCGTAAGAAGAAAGTATTCTTCCTCTCTGGCTCATCAGCATCATTAGTAATAAGTTTTTACGATGTTTGGCCGATATTACTGTCCAGTCGCTAGCATAAATAGCATGTGCAATATTTTTATTCTGCATAAAAAATATATATAAATTAATATCCTAAATATAAATAAACTATTAAAAACAAAATTTATTATACTGATACCTTTAAATCCAGTTCGTTGCCATACCAGCAGTATATGAATACTTGAAACATCATTGATCCTAAGTACAAAATGAAAGAGAAGAATTCAGGACTAAAAAGTTCTTTCTACAATAAAAGCATTAATTATAACATCATTTCACACTATCTAAACAAATATTAATTTTATTAAATTATATTTTAATCCGCTTTATTACAAAAAAATCTATGAAGCTGATTTTTTACTTTAGACATTTGATAAATGCTGGTGCAGAGAGTGAGAAGGCTGAAGAAGAATAAAGTAGTAGTTGTCCATATAAATAACGATTGTATCCTGTTTGTAATATTATATACTGAAATATGATGTTTTACACATTCCGCAATAGCGTAATCTTCAATGACACCGAGTTTTTTCTCTTCGTTATGTTCCTGAAGAAATCGAATTTTTTCCGTCAATCGATAGCATAACAGCTCAATTTGTCCACAGGTATGAATAATCAGACCATAAACGAGAGAATCGAAGGAAACGTTCAACAGAATTCCATAAATTAAAGCTGTGGTTTGCTGAAGATAAGTCAACACATAAGGAAGAAACGCCGTGATGGAATATGGTACGTACATCTTGCATGGCAAAGATCTTTTGTCGTCAGTCAACAGGGGCACTGTGAGGATCAGTAGACCCGTTGTTTGGCACATAAACATGAAGAGACAGGCAGTCTGCTTAGCTTCACATCAGAAATTTGTAAAATAATTGATTATGTAAATCGTGCGAACGAATATAAATATTACAATATTTTTATAAGTACATTTTATAAACTTTTTTACATTTTTAAAAAAATTATTCATCATAAATGATTAGATTCTTTTGCGTAAATATTTCTATTATAGTTATTTTGTATATATATATATATGTATATATATATATATATATATATATATATATATATATATATTATTTCTTCTTAGCGGAAAATCTAAGTTATAATATTTTTTATTCTAGAGAGAATTGGAAGATTGTCGAATTTGTAATATTTTTAATTTATTATTCTAGAATTAATAGATATACCTTTGCGATCGTATTGTTTTAATATCGATTCCTCCGTGGAATCTCTCGCCTGGCATAGCTTAGCGCGAAAACAATTTAACAAAGCACGTAATTCGCACTGCCTCATCAAGAAATTGAGATATTTTAGACACAGGGTTATGAAACTTAAGGCGAGGAATAGACATTCCGTTAAATCCTCCATGTTGTTCCTCATGCGTATAAGTTCGATTATTTCAGATATCGTGAAGTGATATATCAAAACAGCGATCGTATACCTAACAAAATTGTGTACGTGAAAGAGAAGAAGCCTTGCATCATTTCCAAATATTTTATCATTTAAACAAATGTGTAATTTAAATGTGTAATTTAAACAAATGTATTTGTGAACAATTTTTCAGTGCATTAACGATACAATGGACTTTTGCCAGATTACTGGACTATTTTAGCATAAAGTTTGTATTATATGATTATTCTACCTGTAGCAGAAGCTGATAAAACGTATTATCAAGTTGCCATCCTTACTTTCTTTCCATACACCACAGAAACGAAGAACATAAAAGTTTACCGGTAATAAGTCCATATTTTTTATATCGTCGGGTCTAACGTAAAATCTTCCTTCAAGAATAACCACATATCATCAGTTCAGAATTTCTGAGACATCTCCGACTACAATGTTCTTGCATTAATAATGATGTACACATTGGATGTACTGCATTGTTAGAGTGCATTATTTTTTAATACTGTCCACTAGAACAAAACATCCGCGCTTTTCTTTTTTCCTTTTGCTACGCGTATTCTCGATTTTATATTCTTGTTAAATAATACAATAGTATAATATATTATGAAAGCCTTCGACATAAGAGTTGTCACTTATTTTTTCTTGAAAACATTTGCTTATGGATATAAAACCATAAAATGACAGTAAATATAAAATAAAGTCAAGGTAATAGATCATAAAGCAAAGGTATAATTGAGAAATTATTGTGACAAATATTTCGCTTTAGAAGCAAGAATGCATATTTTGCATTTTTATCTTTAAATTAATTAATTTAATTATTTTATTTTTAATTATAATTATTAAATTATTTATAAATTATTTTTAAATTTAATATAGTTTTCTAAATTCTACAATATAATTTTTTCAAACTTTATTTCACATTTAATGCAATTTTGAAAATTGAAGATTTCAAATTGTGAAAATCAAGTGATAACAATTGATGAAATATTGGAAAAATCTAATCAGTAAAGAAATTATACATTAACTAAAATTCTAAAAATGTATTAAGGTTCCAAAAATTTCTAAAAATTGAGATTACAGCAATTGAGAAATAAAATTTAAAGAATGCAAAAAAATTGAAAATCTTAATAATAAAATTTCAAAAGAATACAATCAACAGAAGATTGCACTGCCTAAACATTTAAGGAATTTTTTAAGAAATCCAAAAAATACGATTACAAGAATGTCTAACATTTTCGTTAATGTTCTAACATATTCAACAAATTCAAAATTTCGAATGAAATTTTAATTTTTAGAAATTAAAACAAAATATTAAAATATAATTAGAAACAGTAAAGTAAATCACAATTCTGAATATTCCCAAATTAGAATTTTAGCATTTTTTAATACATTTTTTAATATTGTGAACAAAATTATCAATATATAATCAAAATATATCGACAATATAAGAAACAAGGCTGGTAATTATAATGGTTAATTATAATCCGTAGCATTATCAATGATTTTATTGACTATGCTTAATTACTTACTCAACCATGATTAATAGTAATTTGTAAACTAAAATAATAAAAATTTAATCCTTAAAGTATCTTAGAATTTTCAAAAATTCAAATTACAAAAATTTAAAGTGACAAATTTCTACAGAACATTATAAGAATATAAATAATATTGCAATTTCTCAAAAAGTTGATTAAGCTTTATATCTACGATACGATAGAAATCGATTCTAGATTTCAAATCGAGGAAGCATTAACCAATCATATTGACTAATTGATCAAACTAGCCACTGCTGATTGGTCAATTTTTCTTCGATCCGAGATCTCGAATCGATTTCTTCATCGTGAACTTAGGCTTCACAAATTTATTCTAAACTTTCCCTCGTTATTTCCATTGACAAAAGCAGAATTATTATTAACTATAATTTAATACAATGTACGCGCGTAGTTTAAATGATTATTTACACATTGCGCTCATTTTCGGAGTAGAAAACTCTCAGTACTGTTTCCAGATGCTGAAAATTTTGTAACATTCACAAAGTCCATCGATATTTTTCAAAAAGTGAAATTCCCTTCCTCTCGCACCTCGCGTCATGCTAGAACGCGTGCGCGCACATTATGCGCAGCACGTCTTTTCTTTCCTCAGTCCAGATCATATTGCCCACAAGATTATCGTGGAACCGCGTCCGGTTGTATCGACGTGCATGGTTAAAGTGTGTTGAAATAGTTTATGATCAACAAAGCATCCGTAGACGCGTAGTTACGTTGCACGTTGGAGAGTCACGAGAGAGATTATTTCTCCATGTCCGACTTTGCGAAAGCCCAACTGACAAAATATGGTTGGACGGAAGGTATGGTTTCGTATGTACTTTTTACTCCGGTGCGGCGCATTATTTTCCACCGCGTGGCGATACGTAATTCTCGTTTTTTTGCTCTGTCATTCGGCCCCCCTGTCTATTTGTCCCTCTCATACATCTGTTTATTATTATTGTTTTGTTAATTGTATGATCACCTTATACACACCTTATACACGTACGACAACAATACAGGAACAAAGTGAAATTAATTAAAAATTTAGCTTCTTTTTTTTTCTTTTCTTGTGATGCAGGAAAAGGACTTGGTAAAGACGAAAACGGCATAACGGAAAGCATAAGAATCACAGCAAATCAGAATAATGCAGGTATAGGATATCGGGAGACGAGCATGCAGGATTTTTGGTGGGTAAAATTGTATGATGATGCTGCAAAAGGCGTTGAGTCGCGTGGTAATCAGATTTCTTTGACTAAAGATAAGGAACAGACGGAACAACATTATGAGCTATATTCTAAATTTATAAAGGAATTAAATAATGAGCTTTCTCCAAGTGTTCAGCCACATGACTCGATGGAACTTTCAGATCCAATAAAGAAATGGATACCACTAACACCTCCAAGTGGAAAATTGAAAAGAATTGCAAAGCATGATCATTCATTTTTCGAAACTGGCAGCATGTCGAAATTAAATACAAATCCTAACAGAAAAAACATGGCACACAGGAAGATAAATATAGAATCGGACACTGAGGAGAGTGAACGTGAAGACAACATATTCATACCTACATTACAAGATAATTTCTGCACTACTAAGTCTATAAAGAAGAGACATAAAAAGAAAATGAATAAACTAACGCTGCAACTGGGCATTTGTAGTCTGGAGGAAAACAATGTAAAGTTAACTGATTCTTTAAACAACAAAAAACTTTGCCAAAAGATTAAAAGCGAAGAGAAAAGAACAGATTCGAATGCACCGACAGATAGTTCAAAAAAGGGAAAAAACAATATAAATATTCAGATGGTTCCAAAGAACAATTTAACAAGAGAAGTATTTGAAGAACGTTATTTGAAGCGATTACAAATATTACTTGATATCGCTCAAAAAACAATTGCAAAACAGCCACGAAAATTTTTCAGACCGTGGAAAGGTATAAAAAATAAAAAGGATGACATTGAGGCTTATGATATATTAGATTCAAGTACACGACTGGAAAATATTAAAACGAAACGAGGTAGAAGAAAAAATCATCAAAAGAGTCCTTCATTTCCAATTTGTGAAGAAGATAAAGCTACAGAAACCAAGGAAGATTCTAATTGCGAAGTTAAAGTTTCGATAGGTGTTTCAAATGATCTCTCTGAATCTCAGAATTTATATTCTGATATTCAAAATGTCTCTGAATTACGGAATATGTCTAAAGAAGTTGACGATCTTTTCTATTCGAAACAAAAGAACTCTTTAGCTCTTATTAAGCATGTGCCTAAAACGGAAACAAGATATCAATCATATATTCATAGATTAAATGAAAAAATAGTAAAGAAGAAGATTCAACGCCATTCGAGAAACATGAAGAAATTTGTCAACAAGCTAAAGAGTGAAGCTTTGGCACAGGAGTTAAATACCGTGATTAAAGATTTAACGGAATTTGGTCTTACCGAAAAAGTAGAAGCAAATGTATTTAAAAAAAAATCCACTCAAACTCACCTCACACCCGTTTAACGAAAAAACAAAGAAAAATAAAAATACAAAAAATCAAAAAATAGAAAGATGTGTATATTTGAATAATTAAGTAATATTTTGTACATATACTTTTATTTTTACACTTTTAAGATATAAATTATAAAAATGTATACAAATGTAAAAGTATATCTTGATTATTTCGAAAAATATCTATAAATAATTATTTAATTGATATAAAGTGTAGATTTTATTATTCTTGGAATATAATTATTCATTTATACGTATGTTTATTTTAACAAAACTTTAATTTTTATTAAATTTTGTAGTATGTTTCATATTCTAATTTTAATCGTCTATTTTATATGTAATCGAATCAGGTATATATTCATCCTACTGTGGAAATTTATTAAAGTGTGTCAATCATTATTTTCAAAAATTTTAAATTTTTAGTTTACTTATTATATTGTGCCGATAAGCATTAAACAATTCATTAAAACAAAAATATCCTTAGTTACATATATATGGATACAAAACAATGTATTAAAAAAAATTTTAAAATATCTCAATAATGAAGCTACAATTATTTCTTCAATAATGGACAATACTGAATATCATATATTACATAATTTCAATATAATTTCAAATATAATTTCAAAATATAATTTCAATATAAATGTTTTATTATTCTTACACATTTGTAATAATTATATTCTGTAAAATCATGCAATTTTATTCTAATCTCTCTGAAAATTATAACATTGGCCAATCAAGATTTTGAAATGTCTCGAACAAAATCGATAACGTGAAATGAAAATGAATTAAAATAATTTGCAATTATGTATTACATGCAATTGTATGAACATATATTCGCGATACATCATATCTAATTTAAGTGCCAATAAATGTAAGAATCAATGTTTTATACTATCAAGTTCAACGTTTGTAAGAGCGAAGTTCCTATATAAGTAAAACGCATGCAATGCGTATGCATGCGCGTTGTGTATATAAAACGATTACTCTATACATGTATTTTTAATAAAGAATATTTGCATCAAAGTTTCTAGTTTTCTTTTTTTTTTTTATTTGAAATGCAACGTAACAATATTTACATTTATCCTATGCGCAATTCCTGCCGTACGTTTACACGAACGTACAAATCGATGTCCTTTTTCTAAAGGCGTTAGAAACGCTTCCGCAGAAATACAAATAATGTATTGATGCTATAGCACGATATAAAATGGTGTATCTAATTTAAATTCCATATATGATCGTCAAAATTTATGTATCTCAAAAGGGAAGAAATGCTATCTTTCGGCTGACTTTTATATTCAACATGAAGTGACGATAGTTGCAAAATGACGGTACATCTTGTGTTACACTTGTGTAATGCATTTTTGCAAAATGTGTACTAACAATTGTATTACAACTAGTATTCAGATTCGGATGTCATATAGCAGCCAGTATTATGATGGCTCAGCAATATTTTTTAATGGTAAAAAATTCAGCATCAAATCTATTTTCACAAAATAAAACAAATTTTCTAAGGCCACTAAGGTATTCCATATAGAATCATTTCTATCATTTTCACCCTAAGTTACAAATATTTCATCGTATCGGATCGTAGAATGCATCAAGAAGCATACAATGCTTTTAGTATCCGCAAACTATTCTTGTTGTCCAGTTTCTTCATTATGATATGACAAAATGATATACGCGGTGTATTACAAATTCCGAATTGTATTTACTTAAACGCTAAATTAAGATAAGTTCCTATCAGAGAATATTCAGATAAGAGAATCTAGCAAGTGTTAGGCTACATCATCAAGCTCTTAATAGCTATCTTAATCTAATGGCTATCTTATTTATCATTATCTTTATTATATTATTATATATTTTTTCTATAATATCGCAGTGCGGTTTCAGGAAATAAATTTTTATAAATCATTTCTGATTGCAAAATATACTGTTTTAACATTTTACGGATATCTATATAACAAATTGAAACAAAACTTTGCCATATTACAATATTATTTGATATATTCATTCATTTTGTGATCGACTGTTATATATTTTTCAAAATTTATGGAAAACAGCATGATCTATCTATATATCTAAAACTCGCTTTTGAAAGAGAATCAAATCCACAAGTTGTAATAAATATATAAGTATATAATACATAATATATAAAACATATGGGCTACTCTGTATAAAAAAATAATTATAAAAAGCACACACAGATAAAATTTAATTATTAAATATATTATAGTTGAATAGATATGTTGGGAAAAATTTGTTTTGATCTATTCAATATGTATCTGCAAAATGCACATTTATATTCACACAATTCTATCAATGTAAAGTGTATAAAAAGTTCGTAAGAAGACTTTTAAATTTTGAACATTACTTTTTGAAGATATAAAGGAAATATTTGACTAAAACCAAATATATTTTACATAAATATTATTTCTTACTAGTGCTTAATATATTCTAGTAACTAGAAAATATACACAGTACCATACACAGTACCATATAAATATGTCAAACTTTTTGTAAAATTTAAAAATAAAAACAATATGATACTTTAATTTAAAAATATAATTACATTATTTTCAATTATTGGAAATAAAAATATGATGCAAATTAAAATATAATTAAAACAATGTTACACTATAAAATAATCTTTTTACTGATATTAATGTACCACCGAATTTAAAAGATCAATTTTATTTACGAATACGGCTGAGAAACGGAATCCCTTAAGTCATTATTTTATAGCATAAGTCAAGTTTTGTTTAAATAAAAAATAATATCTTCATCTTTCGTTAATTATACCTAAATCGAGGAAGCAATATTCTTGTACCTAGTTTGTATGTTATATATGCTTAGAAAACACAAGACTATTTAGGAAATATGCAGATTAATAATATTATAATGTTACATTATAATATTATTATAATGCTATTACATTCCTGAAGTTTTTCATAAGTACTTGGAAGCAACAACATTATATGTATTATTAAGATAAAAGGAAGCTTTGCTTCCTCGTGACTTTCAATCACAAGATATTCAACTGTCAATTCTTGTTATCCTAAAATACCGATATTGAAGAAAATCATCGACTGCAGAAAATGTTTTATTACATTAGAGAAACATACATTATGTATGTTATTAGGAAGTATCAATCGGTAAGTCTAACATTCGGACAAACTATTCATAATAAAGTAATACTCTTCTTCCTCGTAAATCACATATCTCAGATCTTGCTGTTTTAAATTGTATCTTACATAAAGCGGCGGAAAAGATGATATAAATTATGTAAAAGATCTAATTGACAGTGTATTCTTAAATACTACTTTGGTTTAAATAGAAAAATATACAAAACCTTCGGCTTGTTGTCCGAACGTCTGTCACGATCGCTCCACGAAAATGCATAGTACCAATTGCACCGATGTATGTCGGTTAACATTACTGTATATACTAATTAATTCAATTTTTTTAATTTCCATTTATATTATGTGCAAAATCATAATTCGTAAGAAGACAGTAACCGATGGACGATTAGTTAGACTATCGATGCGAATTGGCCATGTTCTTACTATATGAAACTTAAAGATTTAATATTAACCATAAACTAACAATGGAAATTGGACACAGCCTGATAGAATCGAAGATTTGCGAAAATTATTTATGATGTTATCTCTTCAAAAGTTCGAATTATTTATTCTATTTGTTTGTATCAAATTCACATTACGAAAGTATAAATGACATAATGATAGAAAACAACCGATAATATTTCGATATATTTGTAAATATATTTATAAATAATTAATTTTATAAGAAATTAAAAAACTTTCCTTTAGCTAAAGCTTTTAGAAATTAAGAAATTTATATTTATATTCTGTATTATCTCTCGTATTTATTCATTCTGATTCAATTTGCGCTTAACAGGAAACTCAATAACAAAAAATTAGTCTTATAATGCATGAAATTAATATTATTAAAGATGCTTCTATACGCACTTGTTTATAGTTTTTCTTTTGAAGACATAATAACCGGCATTCCTGCCGCTTCTGCTCAGAGTGATTGGCTTTCTATCAGTACGAGTACGATTGCTGCAGGAAACGCTCGTATCGTTCACTTTCACCCAAATCACATACATATTAGACGCATTAACCTTATGTGTGGTAATAGCGTTTCTGAGCACGCAAGGATCTAGTTTGCGAGGTGTATAACTAAATCCAGGATGGTTGACAGGACGGACTTTTGCGCGCTTTGCGCATAAACCCGTAACGTAAACATCCTCCAGGTGCAGCAACGGCGTTATCAATGCTGCTTGATATAACTTAGATGCCACATCCATACTCATAACATACCCTGTACCTGATAAATAGTTTGGATATGTTTTCTCCGAGTACATATACTTGGGTGTATACCTGCGCAATTGAAAAATCGTTGCTGTTTTAAATTATTCCTTCACAGTGTCTTAAATAATCTAAAGGTAATTAAATAAATTAAAGGTAAATCTATTTACCATTTGTTTTTGGAATCCAATATTGGTTTAGCATTACAAATGAGGGAACCTAAGAGAGTCTCTGTTTGCGTTCTCGCGTGCAACGTTTGCAGAAGCAAGGGAACATTTACGAACATGTCGTCATCCGTTTTCATGAGGTATTTAGCTTGATTACAATTCGACGTAACCCATTTCAGCATCATAACCGACTTTATCGTCAAATTGTTATATGTATCAAAGAAACGTTCTTGCACGATATCATTGTACTGGGAACTTTCTTCGACAATCAGATTCTAGGAGATAAATATAGGAAATATAATGCATAGGATGCGATAAATACAAGAAATGCATTGCACAGAATGAGATATAGGAAAGATATGACAAAAATAATTTTCTTTCCATGCAAGAATACTTACATTGAGTGTATCATTGTCACTTTTTCCTAATAGAAATGCTATTTTTACTGTAGAATTATACAAATTATCTAAATTATATTTATTTGCCCAGGTGCTCCTAATAGCGGTACGGGCCTCTTGATTTGCTACTGCCGAACATATGATTATCAGCAGATATGGCGGTACTGAACAAATGCCGGTGGGATTGAGAATCGACGTGTTGTTCTCTGGGTGTATGTAAACACAGAGATCTCTTGATGTATTGTACGACCATCCAGGCAATTGTGCTACAAATTAATTATTCATGTCATGTGTTTGTTTTAAATTATGTTATCACAAAACTCAATGTACAATCCTATATTACTACACTACACAAATCATAATTATATTCACCGATCTAGCGTGTATTCAAAAATGTTGCAACCAGATTATGAAATTTCATTTATTATTTTTATCGCTTATTACTTTATTATCATTTAATCTAAGATATCTTCATCTATTTATATAATTAAATATTTTTAAAGACTATCGAGAAATTGTATTATCGCAAGAAAATCAAGTAATAGATACATACCTATGGATGCTATCAAGCGTAAGCTACCAAGAGGTTCTGCGGAAGATGGAGTCTCACTTAAGCCTAAAAACGGAGTCTGAGCAGAGTGGTATGCTGGCACATACAAGAGGCCTAGAATGGCCAGAATCACAAATCCTATTGCCAATCGTCGAACAAAGGATGCCTTGCCTTTACCACTGCCATTACTGCTGACGGTGATTGCAGGTAAGTCCATAGGTAGTATTCGCAATCTGTCCATCTATGTGTAGATAGAAAGTAAACAATTATATTAAGGAATTAATGTTGTCAACACATTAATTAAAAATTGGAAAACGTGAAATAGTCTTAGTAAACTTCCTGTAAATTATAAGAAATTTCTGTATGCAATACAACACTTGGTTACAACTGTGTAATACAAATTAAAGATTCATGAGAATGAATCAGCTTTGTAACACTGTGTTTGCAATGTTAAAGGTTCACCTTGAATCTTAATGCATTTCTCAATAATCAATCAATTGTTGGTAACAAATTTCACAGAATTTACCAGCCTTCAACATATACATACTTACATTTTATAAATAATACGTAATATGTTTAAACTTCAATGTATTTATGAAAAGACATGTATATTCAAAGAGACATGTGTATGAAAATTCTGCTACATTAAATACATGTTTGAGATACTGTCGGTGCAGTTGCCATAATATGAATCATTAAAAGAGCTGCATTCGCCTATGTTGATGAATGATCATAACAGTGCCTTATGCTACCAGCCTTATCAATAACTAGCTATATTTGCAATCATAAACATATCCATCGTGTCCAGCTCCAATCTCAAATGTTTGATGAAATCTGATAGAATAGCCAAAGAACAGTAGCAAGAGTTTTCCCCCTTGATCATATTTATCCCTTCACATCGCAAGTATCAAAATTGGTATATCTACTCTGCCAACATTTGAAGAGCAGAATTGTACACGTAGCTGCGGAAAGGTCATAACAATCTCGCGTGTTACCTTCCATTACTCCATATCGCGACCGCTTTTGGAATAACAGACTCGACCTTGGTATCTCAAACGCGCTATCAGATCTCGGAGGGGACAAGCGTAATTTAATAATAATTGCGGATTTCGAGGACGTGCGTCTCTGACGAGAGGCGCTAAAAATACGCGACAGTCTCGGCGTAAATCATGCGGAGGACGGATATTCCCCGCCGATCGCGACTCGTCCATTCGAATTTCTGTATCCCGCGAGCTGCTCGTTGTCGTGATATCGCGTAAACAAACGCTTACCTTTCGATTGCGGTGACTGCGTGGTCACGTCGCACTTGGCGGCTCCCCATTTACATCGCTCGCATGGAATGACAGCTCGGCTCGCGCCGGAACATCGCACGCCGTGGCGGACATGCACGCGCGTGCCACGAATACGTGGTAAGTGGAAGAAAAGATCCCATCTAATCCCGCGATGTCTCTCTCGCTCTCCCGCTGTCAGAAAGATGTCAACGTCGAAGACAAGACAATGCCGTGTGACCGCGCGCGCTTGCGCACCGCGTTCCGGTCACGCGAGTCTTTTCCTTTCCTCTCTTTCTTTTTTTCGTAATCCCGCGCGGATCACGTCCTTATTACTTGGCTTTTGTAATCTCGATCTCAATAAGATACGAAGAACGGCAATCGACTGTGATAATCATCATACTTTCATTAGGAGAGCTGTTATCATCCGTATTATCAATTTCGATTAAAAAGTTATTACGTGCTTTGTGATACAATCGCAATCACTTCCGCAACGTCGATCGACCTCGGTCAAATTATTTTTCCTTCTCCTTTCCCTTTTCTTAAATGACAGCACCAGCTGTAACACGAACAATGACGAGAATGATGAAATCAGGTAGAATCGGTTAACTGACGTGACGTTGGCGGCGACAGTTCTCGACATACACAATCGTTCGATTAATGAATCTATTATTTCTTCTCTCTCTCTCTCTCTCTCTCTCTCTCTCTCTTCCTCTCGTTCTTTCACAATGAGAGATAAACTTATTTTATTCCAAAGTGCAAGAAAAGATAGATGAAATCAGTAAATCAGTCCTGTCCAAGTATGCGACTCATCGGGGTTCTATAAATTATATGCTTCGTTTCTCTGATTGCGAGTCTCCTTCTCCGTCTCCGCTCCACCCGAAGGCGCACCGGTTTCGTTTCGAATGCGGGCGAACCGGACACCCGATTACGTCGCCATACCGTGCGATCAGGAGTCGCACTGACCCGACACCGGCAACTGTGCTCCCGTCTCCCACGACGGGTCGTCCGCCTTCGCACCGCACCGATTTCCTCGCTCGCCGACGGAACGAATTGCTCGACGACCGGGAGAAGGAGACGAGAAACACGAGGAACCGCTTGCGGGACGAGGCGAGTTTCCGCTCATTCTTCGCTCGCACTTTCGAGCGCTCCACTCTCTTGCCCTCTCGACGGCCGAATGCACTCGGGGGTAGCGAGGGTAACTGAAAAAATAAAATGCAGTTTTATATTTAGAAGGATGATTAAGCTCCGGGTAATTCAATCGGAGATTAGCTTGACCGGCAGAATTGTTTAAAGTGAAATTTCTCATCTTATGATTTGTTGTTATTTTTTTCTTCGTGTGATAAAAATAAATTGACCACGATAGTGGCAGTTTAAAGTTTTGAAATTTAAAAAGAAACGTATGTCCTATGTTTATATTATTCGAAACGGTAAAATAGATTTTGATTGTAAAAGAGTTAAAGTATGAACAAATTTATAGTTTTTAAAAATTAAAAATTTTTTGAATAAATTAAATTTTAAATACAATCAAGTTTAATTATTTCCAGCATTACTGCAATATATTAATAAGAATCAATACAAATTTAAAAATTTTCAAATGAATTTTCGCAGAGAACTATGTTCAATTGTGTTTATGTGGATATTTAGAAGAAATAGTAGAACGATTTATAAAATTTTTATAATTTTACCAATATTTTATAACTTTAAGCAAGAAAATTAGTAATTCTATTCACATTAATATTAAATAATGATATTTCTTGATAAATTAGTCACTGATTAAATTAATTGGAATTTGATCGAAAGCATACCAATTTATTTTTTTAAATAAAAATTAATAAAAACATGTTAATAAAATAATACAAAAACACTTGATAAGTTGATAACTATTTAAATTAATAGAAATTCAATCATCCTCATTCAGACTTGTATGTTCACTTTTATCAATATCAATTTCAATTTAATTTACTTTTTACATTTTTCTAATTCTTTAAAGAAAAATAAAAAATAAATCAAATCGAGATTAAAGTTAATCTATATCAGTAGAAATGGATAACGCTGAAAAGATTAATATAACAGAGAAAAAGATTCTGAAAAATAAAACTGAATTTTTTACAAATGACCGTAATATCCTGTCAAATGATATCCAGTGATCCTAATCTGATCGAGTGATCGTCGTTTTTCTACGCTCCTGAATACGCATCCACTTGATTTCAAGCGCAAAAGTGCATGAGAGTGCAGATAATAAAAAAGAAAACTATTTTGGTAGCTACTTCCTCGGAGAGTGGGATCTTTCAATATATGTTCATTGACAGACACATTGACAGCTAACCTCGTCGAAGTTTCTCCTCATGTATTATTAATTATCAATTAGCAAATACTGCACATAGGGATTACGTTCAACGGACGCAATTAGCAAAGAGAAATAATGAGGCTCAAACCGTCAGAAAGAAGTCGTAGAACATAACCTCTCGCGTACCAATGACCATATGCTCCGTACGTGGCAACAGGATTACCAATAAAATAGAGCAATAAATTCAGGACACGCAGCATGATTAAGGCGATCCTGGTTTTTAATAATCATGGGAAACCTCGTCTTTCCAAGTTTTATCAGTACTTCGTAAGTATACGTTACGCTCGGCATGGATCTCCCTTCTGTTTGCCCCTCTATAATTGCAGAAATTAAATGCTTTTATTTTTGAAAAGATAACATTTATATTAGAGATGACACGTGGATGTGAATTTCACGTTGAAGCATTCGCATAAATCGATCGAAATATATTTGACGTAATGCACATGGATCGTTGCAATACGAGACATGTTTTTTGCTTCAGAACGAAGATATGCAGCAGCAGATAATAAAAGAGACATTTCAGCTTGTTTCGAAGAGAGACGATAACGTGTGTAATTTCTTGGAAGGTGGTAGCCTGATCGGCGGATCCGATTACAAACTAATCTATCGGCACTATGCGACACTTTACTTTGTATTTTGTGTCGATAGCTCAGAATCAGAGCTTGGAATCCTAGATCTGATACAAGTCTTCGTCGAAACCTTGGACAAATGTTTTGAGAATGTATGCGAACTCGATCTCATATTTCACGTGGATAAAGTTCATTATATACTCAATGAGTTGGTGATGGGTGGTATGGTTCTTGAGACCAATATGACTGAAATTCTCACAAGGATCGAAGATCAGAATAAGTTAGAAAAGCAAGAGGTAGGTACGGCCGGCTATTGCAATTCCAATGTCATCTTAACTGTGATCTTATTTCAAAATTTATGTCCTCAGTTTAAATATAACGAACATTCGATATTATAATATACAAAGGTATATAGCAGATCACAGTCAGGATTGATTGTGCCCAGATTTATAATGCACAGATTACTTTTATAATTTTTTACATCCAAATTCATGCTCATTTCATCAAATAAAATGCTAGCGTTGTACTTGTCAAGCTAGTTATGGCCGATTTTTTTACAATGCAATGTGTGTTTATTTTCTCTCACTGGACTTGAAAATGTTAACTACTTATGCAGTCGTTGAGCGATCTAATGCTATGCATGCATACTGGTACAGCGATCTGTAGAACAAATCCAATGTGTTAACAGATAGAAGTGATTGACATAACATCAATTTTAGGGGACTTACAAATCTGGGCGGTCTTGTTCACCCCGTCCATTTGTCCTTCTGGGACCTCCTCCTTAAGTAAATCAGCAGTAGCAAATCAGGCCACTTTGTACAATCATACTTCCGCGCATATCCGTGTATTTGTGATTTCTTCTTTTTATTTTTATATTTTTTTATGTTTCTTTTTTATTTTGTTCAAGACTGTCGAAAGCATAAAGGTCCTTCATTGTGCTTTGTAAAGCGTGAACGTTTTGCGTAACACGCATGGTGATGCAATTTTATTTTGTAACTGTATTGTCGTTGCATAAACCTCGAAGTGCCTTGATAATGTAAATGTCGTTAATGTCGCTTTGTAAGGATAATAAATATCATCGACTTCGTGTAGTCATCTGTCATTTGTCTTCGCTCCCAGCTCTAAAAAACAGTTATGACTCTGCATTTACTAAGTTTCCTTGAAACTGTCCGTTGTTCCACACTTCTTCCATCCATGTGTGCAGGCGGGAATCACAGCAGCGCCCGCGCGTGCTGTCTCGGCCGTGAAGAACATGAATATACCGCAACAAATAAAGGATATGAAGCTGCCTGACTTGCCGCAAGCCATAAAAGACCTCAAATTCTGACCAGCCGTCACCTCGTTGGCACCCAGCTGACTGGTCTCTTCTGTCATCCCAAACGTAACCGACACCATCGTCGCACCGAGGACACTTTTCCCCTCCCTTCAAGCAAGCGAGAATGCACCAATGCTGCCTGCTACCTCCGCATATATCCCGTCTCAACGATATCAGAGTTAAAAATCATGAATATGTGAACCACTGTCATTTTCATGGTTCTACCGGCAGGAAAATATGAACTGCAAGGAAAAGCAGCTTTGAGAAATTTATACACGAGAAAAGAAATTGGACAAGACGAATGGATGTTTCTTAGATTTTTTACATATAATAAGAAGTGTATTAAAATGATATCAGGTATATCAAGTCCACAAATTCAGCTAATGGTATTAGCAATTTTTAACTGTCCAATCTAATAATGTAGCTCCGCGTTTCGTTAAACGTGAGAAAGACATATTCACGGTTACTCACCAGAAATACAAAGCATCAATGTTATTGTGTATAATGAAAATATATTTAATAAACAAAATAGCACTATTGTAAACATGTTTTGTTTTAAGAAAATTATTTCTACATTATATAACAATATATACATTCAACATATATTTATGTCATGCCAAATCAGATAACTTCTATGGTTCCTATATAATACAATTATTTTTTATTTAAATAAGTTGTTTAAAAAAAATACTAAAAAAGCTACAAAAATTTGTACATAGAAAGTATCTTAATAGTGTTAATTTTAAAGCGATATTAACAATATGATTCATAGAAGAATTATTATTACTTTTTAGACAAGGCCAGTTCATTTCTAAGAGTTGTCCATATATAGCCTACTCCCTTTTCCGTAAGTGGTGGTGGATAGGGAGTGTTCTTTAGTTTAAAATAATCCGATGGAGCATGCATTACAAATTCCATGCATTCTAATTTACGAGGTAAATCTTCCTCTGGACCGATGATGTATGTCTCAGGACTAAAGCCTTCTTCTGGTGAGGGACTAAAAAGTATATCAATTAATATCAATCAATATAATATTACACGCCATTATTTTATAGTCTAATAGACAAAAAGAATCACCTTGCCATAGTAGGTAACAGCCAAGTAACAGCAGCACTCTTCTCGCAATACTGGTCCGTCAATAAGCCACGTATCTGAGCGTAATAAATACCACCATCTACATCCTGCATAGAGACTATATCTCCGACTTGAAAATACGTGCCTTTGTAAAATACAAAGTTGCTAGTAACTGGAGTCGCTGTGGCTGTAGGTGCCTTAACTGGCTGCAAAAACAAATGAGCGGTCAACATATAACGATCCTGCATGTATTTTATGGATTATTGTAGCAAATACGCAGCAAAAACGGAAAGATACTTCAATTCGCATACCGTTTTCTTAAATAGATTTCTACGGCCCTTGCCTTTGGGCACAACTCTGTGCGGTCCCGTCGCCTTCGAATTGCAGTATCTCGTGATCCTTGTGCTTCTTCTGGGCTTCAGCGAGCCACTTCTGTCCTCTTCGTCCGTCTTGGAAGACGTGCTCGCCTCGACATTGCGTTCGTCTTCCAAGCAGGCATTGCATAGGTTACCGGAGTCGGTCGAGTGCCACAGAGGAGTCTCGCGGGTCCCACATTTGGTGCATTCCGGCTTGTTACCGAGCGGCATTGAGGACTTCTCAAACCGATCAATGATCCATAAAAGAATTACGATCTCTCTTCCTGCGATCTCTTTTACCCGCTCGTCCGATTGTCTATCTCGTTGTCACATCATCGTGTTTACAGAGGAATTCACGTGTCTCTAGCGCTGAGCCAGTCTGCGCATGCGCAGAAGTGGAACAGCTGAGCGACCTGTAATCTAGTTACCGATTAGTTTAAACTCGCGACAGGTGTAACTATCGTCGACTAGTCACGTGGGACGCGTCTAGTGAGTTCCTTCGCCGATTTGAGGGTGGCTTGGAGGGTGACTTCAATGGCTGGGGTGCGCTTCGATGAATTTTATACATACACTTTCCGATCCGGTAAAACAAATCTGAATTATTACAAAATATTTATGATTCACGTCAGGTTACATAATACGAAATTTACTTCGTAACTGCGTATTCTAATTTTTCAAGTCATCTTTCAGATTTTAATAAACATCGCTCAATTCTTTGTCGTCCGATAAGCTCCCGTAAAATAGGAACTTAAAAAGAAAAAATAAAATAAAATTTACGCCGTCTCACTTCCACAAATCTTTTTTCATTCATTGTCAAAAATATATATAAGGTAAATGTTTTAATAATTAATCTAACGCAAATATTAGTATATTGATAATAAAAATATATATTGCAAATTGTTAACGCCGTCGCCTTCCTCAAACCATAACAAATGATTTGTTTAATTTAAGTGAATCAACAATACAGGCGTGAAATTATCTCGGCTACATGAAGAGGAAAAAGAGAGAGAGAAAGAGAGACTGTTACATTTTGCAGCATACGCGAGCCCCGCACGCAGTTTATATCTCGCGTTACGCCTCTGTAATATCGATCTGAGCGGCCAGTGGACATGCGTTTAGCGCTTTTAACTTCATTGTGACAGGTGCCCTGTCCGGGGTATCCTGTTTGAATCGTTTCGTCGGCACGGGAGCATCATGCGATGAGTAATCTGAACGTGATAAATAATGTGACACCGCCTCGCGACGCGTGACTCTGAATCATCGCGGGCAATCATGTGCCGCTTGTTGCGTGCTTGTTGACGGAGGCAACGAGGCACCGCCGAGATCCGTCGACACAGTGTCTGGAACATGTGCCTTTGCTACGAGTGAGTACGAGAGAAACGGCAATTGTTCGTTGATTCTCAAACGATGCAAAATTGCGAAATGACTATGAGAGCAACGTTCCGTAAGAAAAGGAAAAAAAAAAAATAATTGCCTTTACCTATATAGCTCCAACGAAAGGATCCTCTCTCTCTCTCTCCCTCCAAGAGCACCGATTTGTTTTCTACTTGATTGACTCCTGATTTACTGTTGGTCAATAATTTAATGAGAGGTTCATTGGCTTGATAATGGATTAAATAACGACGCCATCCCACGCGAACCGTAAGGAATGCATTATTATTAAATAGCTATTTTTGCGTCGGTGGGACGATTAATGCCGGAGGTATTAATATGTGTTTCGGAGTCATTTAACTCGTTGGTAAACACGTACTTTCGATGGACAAAGTCGATTTTTTATTTTGACAAATGACGATTGATACTAGACTCGGCGGTGAGATTTTTAGCCACCTCTTCATTTACCTTTTGTACTGTATTTATATTTTTATTATTGTATAACGAGAGGAGAGTTTACGATTAATAATTTTACATTCGATAAGATTTCTAATTTCATATATTTATATTTTTATAACGATAAGGCTTACAGCTAACAATTTTGCAGATTAGAATTTCATATTTTTTGTGTAATTTAATTATAGATTTCTAAAGTCATATGATATAAATAAGACAATATTTTATTCACGTATAATTTTATGATTTTTTTTTAGAGTGAAATAAGACTTATGGCTAACAATTTCGTGTATCATGAAATATTTGAACCATTAATACTGTTTCATACAATTTTAGTAATTTAACGTTGTTATAAAATTTTAAAATCGCACGTGATATAAATAAGACAATACTTCTGTTTCATTCGCATGTAATAATTCGACAATTTTTTGAAAGAAAATACAAGGCTTATTGGTTAATTTTGTGGAATCTAAATTTTACACGATTTATAGCCTGATGTTTATAGCCTGTATTACAAGTTTCTAAAGCTGCGTGATAAAGCAACGTTTTAATTACGTGTAATCGTTTGTTGTTTTTTTTGGAAAAAAATGCAATAAGATTTACGGCTAAGAATTTTGCGGAATTAGGATACTTAAATTTCATGTAATTTATATAACATAATGTTATTATTATAGATTTCTGAAATCGCGGTGGTATGAATACGCATGATATGATAATGACGATTCAATCACGTGTAATCGTTCGATGATTTTTTCAAGAAATTTTATTACATCTTGCTTCGATCGTTAAACATTAGTGTACAAAAAGGCAAATAATGTCATATAAATATGTATATTGCTCGCATGTATGCACGATGCATTTTTATTTATTGCATGTCGTTACAGATCTTTAACATATCATTTGCTACGTCAGGACCTGATATCGCACGCTTATCTGATTATTAATTATATATAACCGACAGTGGACGCTTTATATAGCTTTATCTGTTTTTCTAAACCACGATACCAGTCTGTAATAATGTAATAATGTTTGCGTTCATTCGTAGATGGAATAGATAAGCGTGCAATCGATGTCCTTTATGTACATGTTAGCGTTGGTGATAGAACTTTGCATTCGCGCCGGTCTAAGTCTAGTACCTCTTCTGTGTTATGAAAAACTGTTGCTTCGATTTGTAATAATATTAAAATATTTTGAGAAACATGATCGATGTTATACAGGTAATTAAGGGGAAAAATTATTGATGCGGCTATTTCGCTCTCTTAAGATTCTTATCCTGAAAATTCGGCATCTTGCTCGAGAGATCGAAGTGGAAGAAAAGACCGCGTATCACGATGACGAAATCGCTGCTTAATTTGCTAGAAACAAAAACAGGACGTAGACATTTCGCTTCTGTGAAATGTAATGAAATTAATATACGTTGCGGATCGATCGCGATGGAATGTCTTTAACGACGCTTTACGTCGGTCAATGTCAAGGGCTGCCCGACTTTCAGAAACTTGAGACACCCGCTGCCTTCGCCGTGTGCCCACCTGAAGAGTTAGTTCGATTTAAGACACATGTATTATTGAGAAACGCGTGCACATGTTTGCAGAGCGTTTGAAAAGCGAAGGTTAAAGGTGCCTACCGTGCCTTATTACCCCTATCGCTTACGTGACAACTAGAGATGGTACACCTCGCTTAGCGAAGGAATACATCAATTCTAAAGATATCTATGACGAAATGTAATTATTCCATGCCATCGGAGTAAAGACCATGACATAACGATATGATATCGATGTTCTGACATTTAGTGTCTCCCGTGAAAGCTCTACGTGTCGTAACTCCGTTTTTAATCGATAGACCGTTTTACTCTGTGACGACGATATTAATTCGTCTTCCGTCATGTCACAAATAGCGTCGACAAATAGAAGATGTCATACCATTTAAATCTATGTATCAGTTTTTCCCGTTGAAAAATTGAAGATTGTTAGGCGTCCTTTCGTAGACCGGATGACATCGGCTTGACTTTGAAAGAAGTGACACACAACTGATTAATATTTCATACGTCTTTACAGCTAAGAACCCCGTTAATCTGAAAAAACATGACTGCCATAGGCGACGTGCAAGCCTTGCAGACTCTCGCAGTTTACACCAGCGATGTAAACAGCGTCGACTTCGCCGGTGATTGCATTCTGGTAACGGGATCCGGGTAAGTATTGGTTATCGACATACGCATATAATTTCCGCGATGCTGACACATCGCGTATTTAACACTAGAAATATCAAGCGGTCATTTTCGACCGTTTCTATTTTTTTAAGTTAACATTTTTTAACACACAAATAGGATTTTAAAATTTCCTGGCTTTAATATCCCATTGGAATAAAAAGAGTGATTGATAAAAAATTTAAATGACCGCTCGGTACTTTTGATTAAATGGTCGCATCATCTCTTCTCTTTTAACACGCAGGGACAAACGTGTCCGAGTCTGGGAATGGCAGCCCGGCACCGGCTACGTAGAGGCTTACTTCTCGCCTCTGATGGGGCACAAGTATGGCGTGACCTCGGTCAAAGTCAGCCCCCAATCCACTATGTTGGCCACTTCGAGCATAGACGGCACCACGCTACTCTGGAACCTGCGAGTAGGTTTCAAAATATGAAAAAATACGAGTAAGAATGAGCAAACGCGATTTGTAATATGACCAGTGAACTTTTCCCCGCGGTCTCAGAGATTAATAATACAGTCACGTGAATCTTTTATACATGTCTACAAAAGTCAATGCAAATTACAGTTACTTAAATAATGATAAAATGAATATAGTCGCTTGACATAAAAAGTATCAAATATTATAAATCATGTTCTAACGATTGTTGTCTTGGATTAATGTTTTGAATTTATGTCATTTCGAAGACGGGGACGAAGATACACACTATGGTGCAAGTAGGCGGCGAAGCGGTGAGAGTCTGCAGATTTTCGCCGGATTCGACGTTACTCGCGACCGCTGGTGATAATGGGCAAGTCTGCATCTGGGATCTGGTTCATCGCAATTTAATCAGGCAAGACGTTTTACAGAATATATTCTCTTTTTAAATAGTTTAACAGAAAGATCACGAAGAGATATATCAGTTTACGATCTTTAGCAAGGTGATATTAATCCTCTTTTGATGCTCTTTGATTTGCATTTGGTTAAATTATTACAAGATCTTATCCTGACCCTTTACAGGTGCTTTCAAAAACATGAGGGCGCCGTGCAAAGCCTGTCCTTTTCACCGGACTCTAGCTGGCTGATTACCTCGTGCACGTTGGGTGTCCTAAAGCTGTTCTCCACTGCCGAACTGATCGACACTTGTACCTCCAGCAATCAAGACATCGTCGAACTCGTCTCGATCGATGATGCCCACGATATGGGAGTAGTTTGCTGCGATTTCTCAACTTTCCAAGAAGTCACATGTATTTAAATATATCATTTTGGAAAAAGATGAAACAACAAAATACTTATGATAGATAACGCGATTATTATCGCAGGTAATGAGCCGTACACCAAACTTTATCAGCTGGTCTCGTGCGGTAACGATCACGATGTGAAGTTGTGGGAAGTCACGGTGAGCCAGAATAAATGCGAGGCCCAACCCTCTACTGCCACTATACAGCTTTGCAGAGTGATGGAAAAGCACAGCAGTGCCTTAACTTGCGTCCGTTTTAGCAGCAACGGATTATATATTGCCAGCTGTGGCCTCGATAAAACAGCAGTAATCTGGGAGACGGTAGGGACCCATCTTGAAAAAAAAATTCGACTTTTGATAATGTTATTAATGTTATCTAATTATAGAGCTCAGGAAAAGTCTTGACGATAATTTCCGGTCACAATAGATACATAGCTTGTTGCGCTTTTTCACGTGACGGGAGCTTGCTAGCGACAGGTAAACATCTTTCTGCTTTCCCAAAAAAAGTTTACGGTCAGTTACACGGTAATTTTTAATACAATTATCAGGCTCTAACGATAAATCAGTAATCGCGTGGGATTTAACGGGGAATTTAACTATCGATTCGGAGCTCTCAAGAAACATCGGAACAAAGTGGTTTGTGAATGATCCTGAAAAGGTAAATTAATCGTGAAGAATTTACAAATAATCAACATTAACAAATACGAGTTCTCAAATTAACAATAACGATCCTCTATTTCAGAGTACTATGCACGAACAGGATGTGATGAGAAACGTCGAGACGTATGCTAACGAAGTGAGATTAATTCAGAGATTAGAGGATCATTATGGAGCAGTGAACAGCGTTGCCTTCCATGGAAACAATCTTTTAGCCTCAGCATCAGGGTAAATTTTTGAAATTGTGAAACTATATGTGTGACATAAAATGTGACGCGATTATATAATTTGTCACTTTTAGTGATAAACTGGTGCGCATGTGGAGTGTTGAAATGGAAGAGGAGGATGGAGAAGAAGTGATTAAAATACTAGAGAAACCATTCAGTCCACTCGACGCTCATACCTACAGTGTAAATTATGTGGAATTTAGTCCGTGCGGTTCAATGCTCGCGTCTTGTTCTCTCGATGGAACGACTTTACTTTGGAATACAGAAGTAATGATTGTTTTTTCGCGAACAGTATCATATTTTTTTGATTTCTTACTTACAATAATCTTTTGTCGATAGAACGGAGAGCAAGCGAAATCTTCTTTTGTCAATTCTGGGACAGGCATCCGCGTGTGTCGGTGGACACCTGACGGCATGAAAATTGCTACTGCCGGTGACGACGAGAAAACAACGTTATGGGACGTGGAAAACATGGATCAATTACAGTATGTAGATATCAATAAATCAATGAAAAAAAAATATATAGAATAAAATCAATAATTTATAGAATATACTATTAATTTGTAAGAAGAATTTTTTTTGTATAATTTTGTATAATTAGAACATTCGATGTAATTTTTTTCATAATTCGATAGCTTTTTATGTGTGTAGTAGATAATTAATCGATAATCGATAGATATTATTACAGCGTTTTCGAGGGTCATGCTGACGCGATATCGGCCATCGCATTTACGCACGATTCTCGATACCTGGTGACTGCGTGCAACGAGGGCACCTGGCGTCTCTTCGATACTCTGGATGAAAAGAACGGTTCCGAAGCATTATTAGTTTGCGATGCAAGTCATGATCTAGGTGTCCAAGGATGTGACTTCAGTCCTACCCCGGGCTCTCTGATGTGCAGTGCATGTATGGAAAAAATTATTTTAATTATTATTACACGTTTCGATTTTATTAAAATTATAGTGCATGTCAAACGATAAATTAATATAATTTTTTTCATTACTTTAGAAAGATTTCTATTAAATAATGCGAATAATCATAAATATCACTTACAGCAAGAGACACAGATGTGAACCAACAGATATATCTATTGGCAACATGTGGCAATGATTCATTGGTTAAATTATGGCATATAATTATTTCAAACGATCCGCCACCTAATCCGGACAGTATTGGATCAAGCGATATCGGAACGCGTTACAAAGAAAAGAAATCTTTGACCGGGCACGGTGGAAACGTAATGTGTGTTTGTTTCTCGCCTGTTCATGGAGAAGTTCTGGGTAGTGTCGCAACAGATAGAACAGCTCGCATATGGAGTGTGGTGAGCGATCTAGACAATTACGCTTGATAAACACATAAAGATATATTCGTGAAAATTAATATGCTTTTAGTTTTCCGGAAGTTGTTTATATGTTCTGGAGGATCATGATAGTCTTGTTACGTCCTGTGCGTTTTCCGAAGATACATCATTCTTTGTTACAGGTCTTGGAATTTTTGTTATAATGTGCTTTATCTATTACACAATATAGCAACAAAGTTATTATATAGAAAATATTTTAATTATCATTATTTAATGATAATCATTTTTAGGCGCGTTGGACAAAACCGTTTTGATTTGGAAGATACCTCAACAATTAGTGTCACAAAATAATTTGATGGATAGTTTGAGAAACAAGAAGAAGAGGGTCAGTAATTAAAATTATATAAAATACAAATTATGCAAAACACGCATTTACTTATGATATTTAATAAAATTGTGTTGTTCAGGTTACGGATTGGAAAGTATATGATACTTTGAAATGGTTAAATGACATTGAATTATCCAGACTATCTAGGAAGATACTTGGTTTGGGATTAACCGGAAGGCATTTGCTGTCTGTATCCGAAAACGAACTGATATCGCGATTAGAAATTGAGGATGACAAAGAGGTGCTGTGCATAGTATTACGATAATTTTATTTAACTTAGTATATCGAACTCATATAAAAATGTTGTAGGCAATGGAGATATTGAAAAAACAATTATACTGGCTAAAGCGTGAGGATTGTAATATTACGGAAAGTATAGATGAGTCTGAGATTCCCCATGAATTCTTATGTCCTATAACACACGAAATAATGAAAGAACCTGTGCAATGCTCAGGTAAAAATATTACATAATGGATTATTTTTTTGTTAAAAAAATATTTTGAAATATCTATATTTTCAAAGTATTTACTTTCATGAATCTAATCGTGCACGATTATTATTTCCAGATGGATTTACTTATGAGAGGGCAGCTATAAATGAATGGTTCCTGTGCGGAAAATACACCAGTCCGATGACAAATGAGCCGCTGCACGACACTTCCTTTACCCCAAACTTTGCTCTCAGAAATGCTATACTCACTCTACTTCATGGAGAAGGACCACAATAGTAATTGCACCTTACGCACTTATGGAAGAACAAGAAAAAAAAGCAGAGAGCATTATATGCACGTGTTGGTAATTTATAACACACCATAAGCAATTATTCTACGGTACATTAGACATTTACAATTCAATGGTTTTAATGCAATAAGATTCGTTCTCTTTACAAGAATCGAAAGGAATTCGAACATCGATCGGTATCTGCGGACCAATTAGATACATATAAAGATACGAAAGACTTAGTAGTGACTTTTCATAATTAAAAATAATAACCGCGATACCGCGTAAGGACTGAAGGAAATTACAATTCCTGATCTTTTATTTGGAGGACTTTTGAAATTGGAATTATTGGAGATACGCTTAGAGAGAAAATGTTTTAACGATAATTAAAAAAGGAGCAATTGCCAATAATTTTATGAAAAGCAGTACGTATCTAAGAACCGCTACTGACTTTGATCGATTGCTTGGGAAGCAATGTCTAGAGATGAATATTATCGAAAGATTTCCAAAAATTCGATGATATAGCGCGTGTACAATACACGTAACGATCCAGATACCTGATGCAAAGCAACAAGTACAAGTTTATAAAAATTTATGGACAATCTTCGAGATTTACGGATATAATGAATACGCTGGTCTAAATAATATCAGATATTACAGAATAATCGAACGTACATACGTATACATGTAGTTAGAAACATATCGAGATTACACGGATTTTATATCGGTTCTAGGTATAAACGGAAGTTACAAGTTTTTTCGAACTGAGTCAAATATGACGTATTTCTGTCAGTCTCCTTTGCATCTCCATTTAAAATTTTTTATAACTTGAATAACTCGCGTTTTCTTCAAAAATCAAAAATTCGATTCTGCATCACGAAATGAAAGATTTACAATTTTGTGTAAGGCGTTCTTGATATTAAAACTAGAACTAATTTTGAATTTAAGGTTGCATTGACAGGGTTGACTTTACATCAAAGGAAAGATTTAGGATTATTTAATATTGAAGAAAGTGATTTCCATAACTTTTTGACTATTTCTTCTTTAGATATTAAATAATTCTAAAATGATTTCTATTATGATGCAAAGTTGCAAATTTTTATCTTACAGTTGTTGAAACTTTTAAGTATTGTATATGATTGAAAACCAAGTTTTCAATTTAGGAGTTAATGAAAATTTTGCGCGTTATAAACACGTTTTAGAATGAATATGCTACTTAGTAGTATAGAAATATTTGTGCCTAACATAACAAGGACTTATCATATTTCTCGAGATATTTCAAAGAAGATATCTCAATTTTTTAATCTACGACGTTATCGCATTTTATCATGTGTTTATTTTCTGAAGCATACTTTATAATATATAACAGAAATATGTTAATATGTATATACGACTTGGTGTAATAATAATGTTACTTTCTATTTGCAAACATCAAGCAATACATTAATTTTTGATAATTTTATTTATCCGTTGCAATTGCTAATGTTAAACAAAGAAAATTTTCTTTTTTTGATATATCAATTGTTATCGTTAGCAAGCACAGAAATTGTTCGTTATTATTAATTGTCGTAAATGCTGTGGACTTTGTTATACACTTCCTAGATCGGCGATATGGATAATAGGTAGTTATAATCATTTTATAATAACACGATATTAACTCTTACAGTAGTCTTAAGTGTTATAAACAACAATTACGAAAACTGTATATAACAGTTGACTGTATGTAACAGACAAGATATACGTGTGTATCGCTTGAAGGAACGTAAACCGTCGATTTATTTCTCTTTCTGAGAAATCAGTCCAAGGTGATTCGAAAAAAAGAACTCAGTCGTTTCTAATTAGCGTTTACGCACAGATTTTTACATGATTTCTACGAATTTTTCAATCACTCATTACGAACACGATTTTGTAATTGTATGTCTTCAGATTGTCACTCAAATTCAAAGTCTGTATTTCTGTGATATAATTGAGAAATCGTTTGAAACTTGTGTATCGGAAGAATGCGGTTTTTAACATAATAACACAATTGGGAATGGCATATTTAGAATCGCACTATCAAGGAAAGTCGAAACAAACGCAATCGAGCTTGGAGCGTTAAGCGATTTTACAATTGTAAGCGTGATTTTTCTGTATAGCTATATACAAATAATAAAACCGATATTATGATAATATTACTAGAGGTAAATGATTCTAATTCCTTATAAAACTTATAAAAACAGATTATATTAAATATAGATTATATTTTCTAAAATACATAATTTCGTTGATTCTTTTTTTGCATACAAAACTTTTGATAATATTTAACGTCATGTGCATACAATAAAAAATAAATAAATAATTTTTGCAATGAGATATCTATCATTCTTATTAATTAATTTCTTTTATAAAAATATAAATATATTATTACAAATATATCTATTCTCTGATTTTCTATTGATATATGTTATATAGAAGTCTATCTAGTTCGCCGTTGAGTTATATTTCGGTATCGTAGGATATTGAATATACCTAACACAATATATATCGCAGCCAAGATCATAAAATAACCACTATAAACACGGAACTAAAAAACAAAAATTTTTATATTATCGAGAAATAATATGCATATAGATTTAAGATATTATCATAATTTTTACCTGCTGTCGAATATCCAGCATGAGCGTATTGACGACTATAAGCGTCAGTAAACTTTGCATCACTAACGCAAAAAATATGTTTACTCCGAAAATTAAACCATGACTATCTTCGGATATACATTTAGCTACCTCAAAGCTAAGCAAATAAAAAAAAGATATCTAATTTTCTTTCTTTCAGTATAATATAATATATATCACATAGTATAAATTAAAACATTGATTTAGTTAAGAATAAAATATAAAAAGAAAAAGTGCCTATTTTTCATTTTTAAGCATTAATTTTTTCATATAATTATTTTTATGTAATTTTCTGAAATAATAAACGATAATGTTACATATGAATTCTATAATATAAACATCTCAATAAAATGTATGTCTGTCATTCGTCCTCTTAAAAAAAAAAAATTTGTTATAAGAATTATAAATTCTTTAATGTTAATTATGTGAGGAAAATTATAATATTAAATATTATAATTTTCTTCACATAATTATAATATTATTATAATATTATAATATTAATAAGGAATATTCACCTTGCCACAGTGACCATAGTGTGATAAATTACACCAAATATGATATAGCCAGTGTACAGGAACCAAATGTTGTAACTGTAAGAGGATGTCAATAATATACACCCTTCTAAGAAGGCAAATAAAGAACATATTATATCTCCTAATAAAGCCCAGTTTAAACGTAATTTCCCAACAGAAAATACGCTCATTGCACCTAGTAAAAAATTTTATAAAAATATTATTTCTTACAAGTTAGTTTAAATAAATCTTTAATTACGCCCTTATTATTTACTTTTTGTTTCAGGATTTATGAATAAATTCGTATTTAATGTTGTATCTAATCTAATCAATTTGAATTAAATAGTCTAATTAATAATTTCTTTGTATTTTTTAAAAAAATTAATTCGTTCTTTATCAAGATATTTTAAGCAAATAGATAAATTAGATAAACAAAATGTTTCATGACATAATAGTTTGGGGAAAACGTTTATCTAACCAAGATTATTAACACAGATATTCTTAGTTACTTATTTACTTTGAATAAATGTCAAAAACTGATTAGAAATCATATAATGACCACAATAGGTAATTAATAAATTAATAAAAAAGAATATAATATAATAATAATTAAAAATTTAATATCATATGTATAATATGTATATATAATTATATACGTATAATATTATTGAGATCTGATAATCTGGGGTGCTTGGATTTCACTGGTTCGCATAAAGTTATACGTGATGTTTCTGTTATATGTAGATTTGACATCCGAGACATTATCGTGATAACTTACTGATAATTGATAATTTAATTATTTTAAATACTTTTATTCTTAGTAAAATGATGCAAATTTGTATTAATTTATGTAATGTAAAAGTTTAATCATAGTACTTTTTGTATTTACATTTTAACAAATTACATGTATTTAATAGATGTGAAAAATATTCATTTTTAAAAAAATTTGTTTTACTTAAAAAGAAGATCACATCAGCGAAATTTCACATCAGTCCACAAATGACAGAAGTATTCAGGAAGACAACTACAGATTCATCATATATTGTTACAAAGCACGAAGACTAAGTATGCGTAAGCAGATATCAGATTTGTTCACTTGTTCATATCGAACATTTGATCACGTTCGACCGCAAGCATACGTATCTGGATTGGTATCTGTTTACGTGCATACTTTGATTAACTATATCTTATTGCACCTAGTATAACAATATGCGAGTTCATAATTATTTTCATATTACTAATAATTTTTTTTATTTTTATTTTTATTTTGCATAATTCAGTGACATGTCATTAAAATTTTTTTGCACAAATTTTTACTTTTTTTCACAATTTCCTCACAATTTTTATGATTTATAAAATTTACAAATAATATTCTCAATTCAAATTATCAATTTCTCTATAAAATATACCTTGTACAATAACTACAGTTCATTAATTCTTCACAGATAATTAGGATCTTTTTCTGTACGTATCCTTTTTATCTTTGCTATATTATTCAAATATGTTTCTAACATTAAAAAAAAATTGTCTTGTCTTATTAAATCTTATATAAAGATTTAAATATTTGTTTTGGCTTAAAATACTGTATTTCATATTTTTTGTCTTAATCTCCTATTTCAATTTTATAGGACAATTTTTAAATAATGTATTTTATTAAAGATACTTTTCCCTTACCTACAATCGCGTATGCAAAATCCACAGCGCCATTGTAGATTCTATCGCCTGGCTTCACTGCGGTTTGCCACAACAGTTGTGAATAAGTAGCAACCAGAAGATAACCGCAAGTAGACAAAGACCACCAAGCCGACCATTTGATTACACGATAATTAGTGTAAGCTAGCACGAAGTGTTTCCACAACAGCGCATATGCGTTCCTGATTTTGTGGAGCAATGTGTCTGATTGTGTTTTATCATTTTTATCACACGACGATATTCGCGGATTACTCGGTTGTCCTGATTGATCGATCGTTTGTTGTACAGCAGCAGCATTATTCTCTTCGTCATCAGAAGCGCTAACACGATGAAAATAAATCGATTGACCCACACGAGGCAAAAAAAATGACCAAACTGTCGCAATGCTAATAGCTGGAAAATATTATAAAATATGTCCAGAGAGAAAGATAGAGTTTTTTTTCTCTATATGAAAATTTAATTTTTGTTGTATTATAATTTAATTTATATTATGATAATACTTGAAAAATTTATATATAAAATTCAAATTAAAATTTACGTATTAAATTTAGCTTACATACATGAAAGTGTTAGGTAATTAAGTTGATGATAGTTTAGTAAATCGAAAGAAGCTGTCAATTGAGCTATGATGCCAGACATACTGCGTCCAAATAAAGAAGCCGCTTTAGTGTGGCTTGTGACCTCTTGATAGTGTTTTTTATCTACTTTGGCATATATGTAAGTATAATAAGCCACTTCCGCGGACATAAATAAGCCAAAAAAGAATTTGGCTATTTGCAAAACCAGTACAATCTTTCCAAGTATTATTAGAAGAAAACTTATAATACCAGAGAGACCACAGAGTATTATGATAGGTTTATATCTAATAAAATCTGTGATCAGGAACATGATTATTAATGTCGATAAATAGCTATATGTAGTCACAGGATAGATTTCATGATTTACCTGAAAATATATTATATTTTTAATATCATTGAAAGATTAAACAGGCACTCATTAATTTAATCATTTGTCTGTACTAACTTCACTAGCTGTAAAGTTTTTCCATCCAGTTAAATAATCGGTCACAAATGATTCCGAAGGTCGAAAGTCTTTAAAACATCCAAACATGCACAAAATACACGAAATCTTGACCCAATACATGTTTTATAAATATTTTCCTTTCATTGACTTATATGCTGCACCAGCAAATTCAATTTTTAAGATATATTCGCAAAAATATATCCATATTAATTTATTTAATAATCAATCAATCATAAATAAATATTTATTTTAATCAAATTTCTATTAAATAGATATTGTTATAAAAGTATATATATATATGTAAAAGAATAAAACGTAATTTAAATAATATTAAATTAAATAAGTAAAAATTAATATTTTTACTTATTTAATTTTGGATTTTAATAATTATTAATTATTTCTTATAAATGTAACATGTATTACCTGATATTTGTTTAGTCTTAACAAAACACAAATAATATCAATTTATAATCATCAGACAAACACAATTTATGAAACGCTCCTGTTGCCTTCATACGTAATACTGCGCTCATGCACATCCTTGATGCATTCTTTATCAGAATTGCGCCACCTATATGTATAAAGAATTAATCA